ACGGGAGAGGGTTGAAAGGAGAGAACTATGGCCCTAATAAAATCAGCGTCATATACTAAACATGGTGGTGTGCAAACAGCATGACCTCAATACTTCAGGGTGCTGTAAGAAGAGTGTGTATCGTAGGCCAGTCTGGCTTGCATGAGAGACAAAAAACTTAAAATCTCCACTATACACACTTTCAAAATACCTTATCTTGTTGTAAGAACAAGATTGCCAGGCAGTGGTGGTGCACACCATTAATCCCAGCACTCAGGAGGCAAAGGCAGGTGGATCTCAATGAGTTCGAGGCCAGCCTGGGCTACAAGAGTTCCAGGACAGCCAGGACTGTTACACAGAGAAACCCTGTCTCACAAAACCAAAAAGGAAAAAAAATGACAAGACTGGCCTAATTATCTAAGTTGTTCCTGACCTGAAGTTGTCTCAAAATAGCAAATGTTGACCTTAGTTCACTTCAGTCACTATTTCCTTTTCAAGTAAAAGTGCACCCTGAAAGAGATCTGAAGGGGAGGTATTTCTTCTAATCTCAAATTACTGAACTTGTATACTTCCAATTAGTAAAGAATTTTCTCATTTGCTGAGTGTCCATACTAAAGTGTATGAACTCTATAGCTCAGTAAGCTTTGCTTCCAACACTAGCTTGTAGGGAGACACTGTAACCACACTTCCTAAGGGCTGGCTACAGGTGTGCCTGACCACACCTAGGTGTGATCAAGGTGAGGTCAGAGTGACCAGGCATGGGCTCTTAAGGACCTCGAGCACATGGAATGCTCTCATCTTCTGCGGCCCCTACTCCCTGGCCTCACTGCTCTGGCTTGCGTTTGGCTGATATTTATCTGAATAAAGGTATCTTGAATCTACAAGCCTTCTCCTTCACTAGCTTTTCACTCCCTTACTAAATTTGGAGCCTTTTGGGAAAGTCACCAAGCCTCATTCCCTTTACTTACTTCCCAGGGTTGCTATAAATTGGACACTCAGTAAAACACTGCATGTGACAATCAGGTAATCAATGGTATAGAGTAAAACACTCCAGCAATGAGAGTCAATATCACTTTGTGCCCAACACTATTCTATTCAGGAAGTCAGGGCTGAGATGGGTAATAAAACTGATTTTTCATTTTTATTAAGAAGACAGATGGGCATATTAATGATTATTTTGTTATATTTCTGTTACTACCAAAAGCAAGAGAATGTAACATAAACCAATTCTGAAGGTTACCTTTAGGGATAGCACCAGGAAATGTTGTGTTATCACTAGTGTTGTACACGAGCCAGATGCTGCCAATAACATAATGAGATTCTTCCTTAGTAAAAGTCACATTCCAAGAAACAGTGGATCCAAATTGCACAGCTATTTTAGCCACACCCTGGTCATCACCACAGCTGCTTCCATTATATGTCACATTGTGAGGTTCTGAAATGGTTACAGTTTTCTAAAAGATAAAAAAAAGTTTAGGATTGAGTGAGAAAAAACAACAGTGTGCCCCATACCTTTGTCCGGTGTGCCAAGAAAAACAATCTCAGATTCTTTAGTTACACACCAGATGTCTGGACAAGTTCGAGTATGTCTAAAAAAAAAAATAGGAAAAGTTACCTGGACTCTTCTAATCTATCCGCTTGCTCATTTCTGCAGACCTGGAGATGGAATTCAGGGTCTCATACACAAGGGCAAGTGTTCTACCACTTAGCAATTTCCCAGCTTGTACTGTTTTTGTAAGTGATGTTACAGAGAGGGCCTTAACAAAATGAAGATAAGGCAAAAAGACCAAGAAAAGAACATCGAAAAGGCAGATAGAAATAGCAAACTAGTTTTTAGAAGTTGAGAACTGGACAGACAGCTCCGTATTTAAGAGCACTGGCTGCTTGTCCAGAGCACCCAGATTGGATTCATAGCACCCACACTACTGTGGGCTCACAACTGTCTGTAACTCCAGTTCCAGGGAAGGCAATGCCCTTCTCTGTCCTCCTCTGGCATCAGGAACAAATGATGCACAAATGCACATAGAAAAAATTTTAAATCCACATATCCATACACACACACACACACACACACACACACACACACACAAAATTTTTTAAAGATGGAAAAAAGAAATTCAAGATTTAATGTTAGTATATTATTTCAGAAGTGGTTAGGACTGAAATACCATGAAGTCTTTCCTCATTGGAATATACCATCTCCAAGGAAAACTCAAAAAAATAAATCAACGAATTACAAGTATCCACTCCAAATCTGTATTACACAGTATATTTTTAAGAGTATAATACTTTTTAAAAACATAGGATTATTGTTTTATAAGAGTCCCTAATGTTCATAGCAGCACTATCTGTAATAGCCAGAAACTGGAAGCAACCTAGATGCCCCTCAACCGAAGAATGGATGGAGAAAATGTGGTACATTTACACAATGGAGTACTACTCAGCAGAAAAAAACAATGGAATCTTGAAATTTGCAGGAAAATGGATGGAACTCGAAGAAACCATTCTGAGCGAGGTAACCCAATCACAAAAAGACAAGCATGATATGTAATCACTCATATGTGGGTTTTAGACATAGAGTAAGGGATTACCAGCCTACAATCCACTCTGCCAGAGAAACTAGTAAACAAGGAAGACCCTAAAAGAGACAAACATGGTCCGCTGGAGAAGGGGAAAGGGTCACTATCCCCAGGTGGTAGAGGAGGAAGGGAGGGAGAAGGGAACTGGGATCATCATCTAATTCAATCTTGTTTGTAATTCAAATATATAAAAAATAAAAAACTAAAAAAAATTGATTACACATGGGGGTGGGCCTAGGCCCTATCCCAAAGGATACAATAGACTCTGATGACACCCTATGGGAGGCCTCACCATCCAGGGGGAGCATAAAGGATATATGTGATAGGTAGGGTTTCAGTTGGGGGGGTGGTAGGGGAGGATGGGAGGGAGAAGGGAACTGGGATTGACATGTAAAACAGTCTTGTTTCTAATTCAAATAAAAAAATCTGAAAGAAAAAACATAGGATTTAAGTATTAGATCAATTAACATGAAATCTTACTTTGTACTCATATATCTAAAGGGTAAAAAAAAAGTCTACACATAAAGCCAGGTGTGGTGGTGCATGCCTTTAATCTCAGCACTCAAGAGGCAAAGGCAGGCAGATTTCTGAGTTCGAAGCCAACCTGGTCCAGAGTTCCAGGACACCCAGGGCTGCATAGAGAAATCCTGTCTCAAACAAAACAAAAAAAAACCTAAATGTAAATAAATCCCTACTATAAAATTCAACACAAGCCTTTAATCCCAGCACTTGGGAGGCAGAGACAGGAGGATCTCTGTGAGTTAAAGACCATCCTGGTCTACAAGAGCTAGTTCCAGGACAGCCTCCAAAGCCACAGAGAAACCCTGTCTTGGAAAAAAAAGAAAGAAAGGAGCAAGGAAGGAAGGAAGGAATAAAGACTCCTCAGTGGTTAACAGCAGTAGCTACTACTCTTCTAGAGGATTCCCAGAATCCACATGGCAGCTCACTCTCATCTGTAATTCTGGTTCCACAGGATTTGATGCCCTCTATTGACCTCTAAGGGCACTATACGAACATGGTACACAGATACACATTCAGGCAAAACACCCACATACATAAAAAGTAAACCTCAAAAATGACAAATGTTTACTTACAAGGGTTTTGTTTGTTGTAGTTTCATAGGATATTGTGAAATTCATCTTCCATTTGGCAAAAAGGCAAGTAGCTTTTGAATCTGGCAAATTAAGTTCGAATGCATAGGACTGAACAGCTCCTAGATTTAAAAAATATGTACAATGTAAGATGAAACTAAATTCTAGCTACTGCTGAAGTTCAACTCTAAAATGAAACCCGTATGTTCAAGTATATGGTGTCCTGGTAGTTACTTTCTTTGTAGTTTTTAACAGAGCACTAGTAATAAAGGTAGCATTTTCTCTTCTGGAAATCAATGGTTGCTAGACCCTTGATGCTTAGGTGATGGCAGAAACTAGTGACTTTCGATTCCCACATTCACTTGTGCCTTTTTGCTGTTCTTGCTTGTTTCTTGCAGTGCTGCTAATCAAACCAGGGCTTAATGCATTGCCAAGTGCTCTACTGAGCTACACCCAATGCTTCTTTTAGTTTTGGGGGTAACTAAGGTAGGGGGAAATTTGGAAAGTGGATTAAACTCCTGCTTCTCAGCTAGGCAGTGGTGGCACACGCCTTTAGTCCCAGCACTCAGGAGGCAGAGGCAGGAGGATTTCTGTGAGTTTGAGACCAGCCTGGTCTACAAGAGCTAGTTCCAGAACAGCCTCCAAAGCTACAGAGAAACCCTGTCTCGAAAAGCAAAACAAAACAAAAAACCCTCCTGCTTCTCTCAAACCTATCAGTGAAACTTTGTCTGCAATAATGAAATAGATCAGATATCTTATGTTTTTTCTCAGAATTCTGTTGTCAACTGTATGCTAGGACACATGGAACACATGGAAGTCTTCCCAAATGAGTTTTCTGATGTGATCAGGGTTAGCTTTTCTAAACACATGTATCACAAGTTCAGAGAAGCAACATGTCACCAGGCTGTTAGAGCTGGAATCCGTAAGAAAAGTCAATCTTTACAAACGCAGAGTTCATAAATCTATTTCAGTCTAAAATTGAACTGAGTGTCAGGAGGTGATAGCACTCACCTTGAATCCCAGCACTTGGGAGGCAGCGGCAGGTGGATCTCAGTGAATGTACAGGCAGCCTGGTCTACAGAGAGAGTTCCAGGACAGCTGCAACTGTTTCACAGAGAAACCCTCTCGAAAAACCAAAACAAACAAACAAAAAACTGAATTGAATAAAAAGGCAGATGAACCTTTCACATGGACCCACAATTCCTTCCTAAATTCTCAAACCTACTCCTTCTGTAAATGGAGAAACTTTTCAGGCAGGAATGCTTTGGGACTTTTCATCCAACTTACCTCTCATCTATACTTAAAGGTTACTGAAGCATTACCCATTAAACTCCAGTGCTCAAAGCTTCAATATTCTAAAGGATAAGGGGGAAATAGGACAGCAAATAGACCTGCAGCATAAATAACAGGCAACCATCTGAGAATTGTCTTGCCTGTCTCATACATTACCCTAGGGAAAAGTTGTTTCCTGTTAAGATAGCTGCACACCCTTTAATACTATCCGACCAGTACAGTGTCATCTACAGGTAGGGACATGTTATTAGACTAGAGAAAACTCCTGAGAGGAATACCAAGCTGGCATGCCTCAGCAGCAGCTTTCAAGCTATACACAAAAGCCTCCCTTTCATGCTGCAGAGACTTGGCTGCCTTAGCAAGCCCAAACACTATGCTAAAGCTTGTGGTTGCTGACAGGGACTAAGTACTGGCAAGGGTTCAGAAAGACCCTGTATGAGGGACGTAGGTTTTTTCCACCATCCTTTTCTCCATAGACATGGACTGGAACTGTCAATCTGATCCAAGTCTACCCTGGAGAGTGCTGCTGAGAACTCCAACTTCCAATTTTCCCACTCATCTAGAGGTTTGCTTTGCCTGTGCTCCATCCCTGCCCTTGGCATAAAGGTCTCCAGCTTGTATTCCTGGTATAAAACCTACTTGGTCATGAGAAATGATCTTTTAAATATGTTGCTGCATTCAATTTGCTATTGTTTTATTAATAGTTCGCATCTATATTTACTACAGGGATCGGTACAGCTCTCTTTGTTGTACTCCTTAGAAGTTGAGGCTGGAATTGTGGTCACAAGAAGTTGGGCAGAGCAGATGAGAAGGGGTGAAGAAATGCCAATCAATGGAGACCAAGTTACAGCTAGGACAGTTAGGAGTGAGAAACCCTGATGTGCTTCAATGCACTACAAAGTGGGGTGACTGGAGACAGCAGCAATGTTTCAAAAAGAAAGGATTTTCAAAACTTTCCCCATAAAGAGATGAGCAATGCCAGGAATCAATGTTTAGTCTGTTTCTTTAAAAATCATACAATACTCATGCACAAAAATCATAATACCTCATTTTATTGTGTACAATTTTGTTTAATGTATTAGTTGAAATCAATTTTAAAATAAAGGGTACTCAGACACCCACAGATATACACTGAGCTGAAATCTGGAACTTAGTTGAAGAGAGGGAGGAATGAAGAGCGAAGGGTCTGGACCAGGTTGGAGAAACCCACAGAAACAGCTGGCCTGAACAAGGGGGAGCACATTGAACCCACATGCTGTCAGGGAGGCCAGTACAGGCCTGATCCAGACCCCTGAACATGGATGTCAAT